TTGAGTGCACACAGTTGCAGTAATAATAGGTTCCATTTTCTGGGGCTTTCTATGTGCCAAGCATTCTGCTTAAAAGTATAGAAATACATTTATCTCATTTAATCCTCACATTAACTGTGTTGTTTTTGTTGTTAGGTGCTGTCCAGTTGGTTCCGACTTACAGCGACCCTATGTAAAACAGAACGAAACACTGCCCAGTCCTGTGCCATCCTCACAATTGTTGTTATGCTTGAGCCCATTGTTGCAGCCACTGTATCAATCTATCTCATTGAGGGTCTTCCTCTCTTTCCCTGACCATCTACTTTACCAAGCATGATGTCCTTCTCCAGGGACTGATCCCTCCTGATAACATGTCCAAAGTATGTGAGACGAAGTCTCGCCATCCCTGCTTCTAATGAGCATTCTGGCTGTGCTTCTTCCAAGTCACATTTGCTCTTTCTTCTGGCAGTCCATGATATATTCAATATTCTTTGCCAACACCATAATTCAAAGGCATCAATTCTTCTTCAGTCTTCCTTATTAACTGTCCAGCTTTTGCCTGCTTATGAAGTGTTTTGAAAACACCATGACTTGGGCCAGGTGCATCTTAGCCTTTACAGTGACGTCTTTGCTTTTTAACACTTTAAAGAGGTCTTTTGTAGCAGATTTGCCCAATGCAATGTGTCGTTTGATTTCTTGCCTGCTGTTTCCATGGATGTTGATTGTGAATCCAAGTAAAATGAAGTCTTTGACAAATTCTGTATTTTCTCAGTTTATCATGATGTTGCTCATTGGTCCAGTTGTTAGGATTTTCTTTTCTTTATGTTGAGGTGTAATCCATACTGAAGGCTGTAGTCTTTGATCTTCATCAGTAAGTACTTCAAGTTCACTTTAAGCAAGCAAGGTTTTATCATCTGCATAACACAGGTTGTTAATGAGTCTTCCTCCAATCTTGATGCCTTGTTCTTCTTCCCAGGTTATTTGTTCAGCACACAGATTGAATAAGTATGGTGAAAGGATACAACCCCGATGTACACCTTTTCTGATTTTAAACCACTCAGTATCTCCCAGTTCTGTTCAAACGACTGCTTCTTGGTCTATGTACAGTTTCCTCATGAGCACAATTAAGTGTTCTGGAATTCCCATTCTTCACAATATTATCTGTAATTTGTTATGATCCACACAGTTGATTACCTTTGCATAGTCAATAAAACACAGGTAAACATCTTTCTGGTATTCTCTGTTTTCAGCCAAGATCCATCTGACATCAGCTATGATATCCCTGGTTCCACATCCTCTTCTGAATCCAGCTTGAATTTCTGGTACTTCCCTGTCGATGTACTGCTGCAACCCCTTTTGAATGATCTTCAGCAAAATTTTACTTGTGTGTAATACTAATGATATTGTTCAATGATTTCTGCATTCTGTTGGACCACCTTTCTTTGGAATGGGCACAAATATGGATCTCTTCCCGTTGGTTGGCCAGGTAGCTGTCTTCCACATTTCTTGGCATGGCGAGTGAGCACTTCCAGCACTGCATCCATTTGTTTAAACATCTCAGCTGGTATGCTGTCAGTTTCTGGAGTCTTGTTTTTCACCAATGCCTTCAGTGTAGCTTGGACTTCTGTCTTCAATACCATTGGTTCTTGATCATATGCTACCTCCTGAAATGGTTGAACATCAACCAATTCTGTTTGGTACAGTGACTCTGTATTCTTTCCATCTAATTTGGATGCTTCCTGTAACCTTTAATATTTTCCCTGTAGAATCCTTCAATATTGCAACTTAAGGCTTGAATTTTTTTTGCAGTTCTTTCAGCTTGATAAATGTCAAGCGTGTTCTTCCCTTTTGGTTTTTTAACTCCAGATGTTTGCACATGTCATTATAATATTTTACTTTGTCTTCTGGAGCCACACTTTGAAATCTTCTGTTCAGCTCTTTTACTTCATCATTTCTTCCTTTTGCTTTAGCTACTCTATGTTCAAGAGCAACATTCAGAGTCTCTTCTGACATCCATTTTGCTCTTTTCTTTCTTTCCTGTCATTTTAATGACTTCTTGCTTTTTTCATGTATGATGTCCTTGATGTCATTCCACAACTCGTCTGGTCTTCGGTCATTAGTATTCAGTGTGGTAAATCTGTTCTTGAAATGGTCTCCAAATTCAGGTGGGATTTACTCAAGGTCATACTTTGGCTCTCCTGGGCTTGTTCTAATTTTCTTCATCTTCAACTTGAACTTGTATATGAACAATTGATGGTCTGTTCTGCAGTTTGCCCCTGGCCTTGTTCAGACCGATGATATTGAGCTTTCCCATTGTATCTTTCCACAGATGTAATCTATTTGATTCTTGTGTATTCCATCTGGTGAGGTCCACGTGTATAGTCACCATTTATGTTGTTGAAAAAGTTATTTGCAATGAAGAAGTCATTGGTCTTGTAAAAGTCTATTGTGAGATCTCTGACATCATTTCTATTACCAAGACTGTATTTTCCTACTAAAGTTCCTTCTTCTTTGTTTCCAGCTTTTGCATTCCAATCTCCAATAATTATCAAAGAATATTTATTGCATATTTTATCAATTTTGGACTGCACAAGATGGTAAAAATCTTCAATTTCTTCATCTTTAGCCTTAGTGGTTGGTGCATAAATTTGAATAATAGTTGTATTAACTGATGTTCCTTGTAGGCATATGAGTAGTATTCTATCACTGACAGCTTTGTACTTCAGGATATATCTTGAAATGTTCTTTTTGATGATGAATGTGATGCCGTTCCTCTTACAATTTGTCATTCTTGGCATGTAGACCATATGATTGTCCCATTCAAAAAGGCCAATATCAGTCAATTTCAGTTCACTAATGCCTAGGATATTGCTGTGTATGCATTCCATTTCATTTCTGTTGATTTCCAATTTTTCTAGATTCATACTTCGTACATTCCACGTTCCTATCATTAATGGATGTTTACACCTGTTTCTTCTCATTTTGAGTCCTGCCACAGTAGCAAATAATAGTCCTGAAAGCTTGACTCCATCTACATAATTAAAGTTGACCCTACTTTGAGGAGGCAGATCTTCCCCAACTGTATTTTGAGTGCCTTCCAACCTGAGGAGCTCATCTTCGGACACTATATCAGACATTCTGCTGCTATTCATAAGGTTTTCACTGGCTAATTTTTTTCAGAAGTAGACTGTCAAGTCCTTCTTCCTAGCCTGTTTTAGTCTGGAAGCTCAGCTGAAACTTGTCCATCATTTGAAATACTGGTGGCATAGCTTCCATCATCACAGCAACACACAAGCCACCACAGTACAACAAATTGGCAGACACATGGGGACAGTAACTGTATGAGTTAGATATTATTATTATCCCAATTTTTCAGACCAGGAAACAGGCTTGGCAAAATTAAGTGACTCACCCAGTGCCACCTAGCTAGCAGGCAGATAGTCTGCTTTGAACCTAGAGACTAAACTCATAAACACATTACTTCTTGATGACCAATAAATGTTTGATAATTCAGCTTTCACTCCAGATACCATTTCTTTGATGCCTACTATGCATGGGAACTGTATCATATGATTTTTAACTATATCATGCAATTTAGTCCTCACAACCCTGTAATTTAGGCTTTATTAAATTCTAAGTCATAATTGAATAAACTGAGGCTCAGGTTAAGAAATTTGTTCAAATCTCTCATGAGTAAGTGGTTTGACTGAAAACCAGATCTTCTCACTACAATGTTTTTTTTTGTCCTAGTATGTTTTATTGCCTTTCTGCGAATACTGTGATAATGATGACCTCAGTGCTTTTGTATGAGATGAATCTCTATAGGAAGCAGTGGAATCAACATGGTAGAGTAGTAAGCATTTTGGATTCAGACCTACTTTTAAAATCTACACTGTCAATAAGACTCATTCACTTATTTGTTCATTCATTTCTAAATTCATTCTTTCATCCATTCAGCTAAACCCTGTGGGTAAGGGGCTGCTGTAGTGAACAAGACAGAATACTTGCTTTCCTGAAACTTACAGTATAGCGTAAAAGACTCTAGACTATAAGCTCCATGAGGTCAGGGGCAAGGTAGGTTTTATTCTCCACAGATAGCTCCAGCATCTAACAGAATGTCAGACACATTCAATAAACAGAGAGAAGGAACACATTAGAATTGATTAGGATAAATAAGAGAACTGAAGACTTAGATTTAATAAACATTTATTGAACACCTACTGTGATCCAAGTGGGTTCACATATTATTTATTATTCAGAGTAACTCTATGATGTAGTTGTTATTCCAGTTTTACAAGTATGAAAACCAAAACTCAGAGAGAAGGGAGTTGCGTCAAGTTACACAGTCTGAAAGTGGTGGTCTTGTAACTTCTGATTTCAAGTCTTGAGTTCTTGCCACTATAACACTAAGTATTATAACTGAGGTAAGTGAGAGGACTTAGACTTACAGAATCCAAACACTTTATTTTACAAATGGGAAAATCAAGGCCCAAGACCTTGAGTAATTATCCAAGGTAAAAAAGTTCATTGATGGCAAAGCCAGTGCTAGAACCCAGGACTTAAATCAAAGCTACCTTCTAATTCTTCTATAGAGCGCTTCCTGTTTAAGTGTGATATTTCAGATTATTTCTTTTGTATTTCATTCTACCAACCATAATGAATTTTATGTTCTTGGGTTAAAAGTATCTTTCCTAGTTCCTTTATAACTTGAACTAAACAAAAATTTAGACTTGCATTTTCATTTCATATGTATACAAGTCCCCCACATGCAGACTTTTCTTAGGCACCCAGCAAAAATAAACAACCATTCTGAGAGTGGGTTTGAGGACTATTCAGAGGATAGGAACTTTACAAAAATGATTAGAGGTTAGAGGTCCTCTCTCTGTCCTCAGATGTCAGCCCATAGTTTGAAATGTAAACATGAGAAAAAGAAACTACAGTGGTAGAGCTCTCAGGAGACCAATTTCAACTCTCATCTCTCAGTCTTGGAGTCAGAACCCTAAGGTCCTGAGAGAAGAGTGTTAGAATGCTTTTATTCTGAGTAGTTTCCCCAATGTCCCCTTCATATCTCTGTTTCTCAAGCTGTAGATGAAGGGGTTCAGCATGGGGGTTACTGTTGTGTACATTATTGAGAAGACTCTGTCCTTCCCACCTGAGTAGGGTGTTGGAGGATATAAATAGACTCCAGTAGCTGTTGTGTAGAACATAGAGACCACAGAGAGGTGGGAACTGCAGTTGGAGAAGGCCCTTTGCTTACCTTTTGGAGAATCCATTTTCAGGATAGCCAGTACAATGTGAAAGTAAGATGTAAGGATGCAGACAAAAGGTCCAATAAGCAATGTTCCTGCCACAAAGATGAGCACCAGGTCATTGACATAAGTACTGGAGCAGGCCAGCTTTAGGAGAGGAACCGGATCACAGAAGAAGTGGGAGATAATATTGGGGCCACAGAAGGAAAGCCTGATCACTAAAAGTGTATGCACCAGGGCATGGAAGGTAGTGACCAGCCAGGACCCAGCCACCAACAGGACACAACATTGGGAGTTCATGATCATGGCATAGTGGAGGGGGTGGCTGATGGCCACATAGCGGTCAAGTGCCATCACAGCCAGGAGAAAGTTGTGCAGATCAGCAAATAAGCCAAAGAAGTAGAGTTGTGTCAGGCATCCACCATAAGAAATCAGTTTACTTCCTGAGCCAATATTATCTAGCATCTTGGGGATTATTGTAGAGGTGAAACCAATGTCAGAAATAGAGAGGTTGGCCAGGAAGAGGTACATGGGGGTATGGAGGTGCATATCAAAGACAATGGCCAGGATGATGAGCAGGTTTCCCACCACAGTGAACAGGTACATGCCCAGGAAGAGCCCAAACAGGAGAGGTTGCTGTTCTGGATGCTCAGAGAGGCCCAGGAGGAGAAATTCATAGATGCTGGTCTGGTTTCTTCTGTCCATATTTGGAATTCTGCGTGAAATAAATATTATTATTATATAAATAACAAGAAAGTAAAACATGACTGGGAATTACTCGTGCTTTTATTCTGACAATATTGAAGTTCCTCACTTATGGGTGCTTCTCCACACAGTGTGGTTCCTCTCATTCTGGCCCCTTGAATTTAAAAACCTAAGTTTTAAGCCATCTATCCTGGCTCCTGACCCCTTCTTTACTCTGAAAGGTCCTTATTAGATTTATAAATTGCAAACCTAAATAGAAGGACTTGTATACTTAGTTCGCCCTCTAAAAACACAACATAGTTTGTCTTTAGCACTGTTCAAAGAAGATGAATGGTGGTACAAATGGTTAAGTGGTCGGCTGCTAACTGAAAAGGTTGGCAGTTCGAATCCACCCAGTTGCTCCACAGGAAAAAGATCTGGCATTCTGCTTCCATAAAGATTATAACCAAGAAAACCCTATAAGGCAGTTCTACTCTGTCACATGTGGTTGCTTTGAGTTGAAATTGACTTGACAGCACTTAACAACAACATCAACAAAGAAGAGGTTAATCCTGATTTGGGACTTAAAGTATCTTTTTTTCCATAGCAGCCACTGTGAGGATACACTAGGATCTCATAACTAGACAATACTAGATCTTTAGTTTTTCCAATTTACAGCCTTTGTTATGATTCAATGAAAATAGTAGCACCATGATTATCTTCATTATAAAGATGTAGAAACTGAAGTTTAGAGGAGTTAAGCAACTTGCTGAAGTCCATACAACTAGGATTTGAAATGGAATCTGTCCGTGTCAAGAGACTAACTTCTTAACTACCCTGCTATATGTTCACTAAACCAGTTTCTGACTTTAGTTCAGCTTCCTGCATATATTTTCTACAAGGAGAGAATGCACCATAAGGCAATTTACATATCCATTGTTTGGCAGTTATAGTTCTCATGGAAAATGAGGAAATTGGTATTGGGGTTATGGATCAATCTTTTGTGAGTGTGATTAATGGAGTCAGTCCACTTCAATCCATTCCAATGTCTGGACAAGATCTAGTTTCTATAGTTGTAAAGCTAATGGCTCTGGGCCATGATTCCTACTTTGAAGTGGAGCTATCCTGAGAGGTTCAGGCTCTTTCCTTTCTGTTATCTCTAGCTCATCTCCACACAATTGCAGCCAAGTCCGGATTCAGGAGCTATGCATATGGCAGAAAGTACAGCCAGATATTTTGTTATTTATTCAGTTATGTCACCTTTATAATAAGAATTAGAAATAAATGAACATGTATTTCAGTTTTCACTTTTCTTGCTCAAGGGTAATTAACTTCTAGGAATCTCACTGTCTAATAAAAACATATAGTCCATTATAAGCAATTGCACTAATTTCAAATGAAAAATTTACAAAATATGTATATTGTTAGTATTCTTCAGATAGTCTGAGCAAATAAACTAACAAAACCTAAGACAATTTACTTTTGGGAAAGATAGATTTCTTTTTGTTTCAATTTTTTTTTTATGACAGATTATCTAACACCCTGGACAGTGGACCTAAGCTGGGGGCATGTATCACAGCCGCCTGGGGATCATTTCCTACACTCCCCCTAAAAATCAGATCTCTACCATATCTATTTACTTAAAACCACTACACTAGACTGATTTGTTTTCAAAGAGAATACTTAGGTTACATAGAGTAAAGGAAAAAACTTTTAGCTTGCATCAAGAAAATCTTGATTAATTGTTTGGACCAAGCCTAGTAGTATGACTTTGAATAAGTCATTTAACTTCTCTGAACCTCCTTTTCCCTCTCTGTGAAGAGGGGATAATTAAATCTAAGTCATAGGTTGTTGTGAGGCTCTTTATCACTGTTAGGAAAATGTCCAAGCTATTTCTTATCATGACATAATTAGCCCTTCATGATTCTGTCTCCACCTATCTATCCAATGGCACTTCCCCATGTTACCTTGCATGCTGTATCATGCACATCTTGTCTTTTGATTAGTTGCTTATCACCACTAAATGTGTGCCTATCTGTGCAAAAGGCTCATTTTTATTCATCTTTATTCCTTCTTAGTATAGACTCAGTAAATCATCTGTTTAATAAAATAGTGGATGTGTGGGCAGTAAAGTGATTTTTTAAGCTATGATGAAACTGCGTGTCGTAATTATTTAACTACTAGCATAGCCTTTTATTTACGGGTATAATTAATGAAAGAGATGATCCTTAAGTGAAGATCTTAGGGTGCTTATTACATAGGAGGTGTTCAAAAATTAACTGTGGAAAAAATTGGAAGATTATTGTTGGGTGTTGAATTAGTAAGTCTAATCAATTGCATGTTTATGGATGCACCAAATGCATGGTATATATTTGCTTATATTTTACATTTGAGCTAAATTTTGTTTTGTTTTACTTTAAAAAAGAATGCTGGGAAAATCAATGCATGGGGTTCAGATTTAATATGAACATATCTTCCTGTAAGTCTAAGGTAGCTCGGAATCTGCTCTTCTGTACCCTTCCCAATGCTGACAAATATTCCTCCAAAATCTTCTGCTTTTGCACATTTAAAAATTTAACCAACCGTATCTGACATGCTCCATCTATATGTCAAGACCCTCTGAGAGGTATATGGAGACTTCAGGAAGATGTGGTTTCAGAGACCAGGGTCGTAAGTTCATAGTCCAGTAAAATAGTCCTTGGGATCAAAGCTACCTAGCCACTCAATCCTTTAGGTACTAAAAGATGTTAAGCCTTCTAATACAATTCCTTGTTTTGTGAATGAGAACAACAGAAACTCAAAGAACTGGTGTGATCCGTCTAAGATCAACACTATAACTGATCCCCAAAACAAAGTTTCTGAAACAATTTCCAGTGGACCATTCTTCTTCTCTTAACTGACTGTGAAGAAAGTACCACTTACTGTCAGTCTTGAGCTGGGCCAAGAAGAGCCCTCGTTTGATCACATCAAGGTAGAGATTTGATTCTTCTGCTCTCAGTTCTCACTTGTCAAGAGTGGAGAAGCCATATTTGTGGGCCAGATGAAAAGACAGCATCTTCCCCTTTGTTTAAGGTACGTGGGAAACTTGGGATGTGGACTCCTTATCTTCTACAAGGAAGGAAAAATAAAAGCAGGTCAGCTCAGGTCCTGGTCAGCCAGACTGACTAGAAACCCAGGAAAAGAGAAGTTATCTACATGCATTTTCTGGCACAATCCCCAGAGCTTGCTGCTGGAAGCTTCAGAGACATCTGGGAACACCAGTCTCTGAAGTATTCATTGTGGGAAAAACCCTGGTTCATTGCCCAGTCCTCAAGCTCTAAATGAACTGTTCTGTGACGTAGTGAAGTTCACTTATCCTATCTGGACTTTGGTTTATCTCAGGTTTACAAAATAGTGACAAAACAAAACATTCTCTCACAGTAGAAATCTTATAGCTAACATTTTTTGCCATTCAAAGGTATATAAAGTGGTATATCATTGTGGTTTTAATTTCCATCTCCCTAATGACTAATGGAGCCCTGCTGGTGCAGTGGTGGTTTGAATCCACCAGCCCCTCCTTGGAAACTCCATGGTGCAGTTCTACTCTGTCCTATAGGGTGGCTATGACTCAGAATTGACTCAACGGCAATGGGTTTGATTTTTTAGTTTTGGTGAGTAATGATGTTGAGCACCTTTTCATATGCTTAGCATGCATATATCTTCTTTTGGTGAAGGGTCTGCCCATTTTTATTGAATTGTCTTTTAATAATGATTTGTAGGAATTTTAAATATAATCTGGCTATGAATCCATTTTTTAATGAATCCTTTATCAGCTATATGTATTGTGAATATTTTATCCTATTTGGTGGCCTGCTGCTTTATTTCCTTAATGATATCTTTTGATGGACAGAAGATTTTAAGTTTAATGAAGTCCAATTACCAATTTTTTATTTTATGGATAATGTTTTATGTGTATTGTTTATGAAATATTATCTACCTTAAGATTGTGAAGATATTAAAACAATGTTTTCTTCTAGGAGCTTTAGAACTTTAGCTTTTATGTTTAAGTTTATGTCCCACTTGGAAATATTTTTTTGTGCATGATGTGAGGTGAGGGTTAAGATTTATTTATTTTTCCATATGGCTTTCCAGTTGTTCCATCTCCATTAGTTGAAAAGGCTTTTATTTCCCTATTGAATTGTCTTGGCTCCTTTGTCAAAATTCAATTAACCAGATAAGTGTGGGTCTATGTCTGGATTCTGTTATCTTTTTTTTATCTTATGCTTGTCTTTACAAAAATACTTCAGTGTCTTGTATAGTGTAGCTTTATAGTAATTTTTACAATCTCTTATTATCCTTTTAATATCTTTGTTATTTTTGATGGTGTCTTCTTTGTCTTTTCTGAAATTATGATTTTTTTTTTCTCTTTTTTCCTTGCTCAGTCTTTGGAGGAGTTTATTTAGGTGGAAGAAGGGATCCTCACCTTTCTCTCACACTTGCCCAGAACTTACTGTCATCAATAACTAGCTGGTGGCAGGATCAGAAATAATGATGTCCTGCCCCTCCTGAGAAGATAGCCTTCCAACTGGGGCCTGGGAGGAGAGGAAGCCTGTGTTCTTGGCTGCTCCAGTCTGGAGTGGAGTTTCCATCTCGCTGAGTTGGGGGCGGGGGCAGATCTTAGTTCAAATGCCACAGACACTCAATATTTTTACTGAATAAGAGAAGATTTACTTGAATAAATGTTTCTTCCTTTTCTGTATATCCTTAGGACCATTTCCAGAGATGTTAGATTTTTTAAAAAATGTTTTTAACCAGTTTCACTGGGGAGAATGCCTGTGAAGCTCCTTACTTCTACCCTCAGATGTATTTTGTTTGTTTTTGGTTTTTTTTTTTTTAGTACTACAATTTCCACTTCATTTTTATGTTAATTCTGTTCCAATTAATCCATAAATGCTTATTTTCTTGACTTTCAGTGATTGACTCAAAACTTATCTGAAACATAAAAAGGAGTTATATTACTACTTTACTGAAATCTATTTTTA